TATAATGTGTGTGATTATTATCTCAGTGGTTTTGAGATTCTTTCCAGCTCCAATACGTGGAAATCACGTGAAGAAACCAGCTTCCCAACAAAATTTCGCACCGTTTTCATAGAGACAATGCACGAAGCCGCCGGTAGCCGTTATGATACGTATTCTGCGCCCGCAGTGGACTCCGAGTTCGTTTGAACAGTTCCCAATAAATTTGCGGCCGCGTGCGGAGATCTTAAGCGCTCTAATAAGTACGATCACGTACTAAATATTTATGGTAAAGTTTTTCTTCTTCGAACCACGGTTTCAGAGAAATGTTGGGTGTGCCTCTACGACGTGGCCAATGTGTCACACGAGGACACGAAAAATCGGATCTACGCCCTGATTAGTGGGATGATCAACCAATCAGGTCGTTGAACAACAATAGCAAGCCTGGTCCGGGAATTCGGGTAAAAGCCTCCATCCCTTGTGTCCGTGACCCAGTGATTCGTAAGCCCGTGAAACCGGGAGTGGGGCTTCTGGCCCGGCATTTGCAACTCCAGACGAAAATCACAGCACAAGGCGACCCAATTCTTACTTGTACCCTGTTAGAAGAAGGTTTGATCAACAGGCTTTTTCACCGTTGGCTCAGCTAACACATTACTGGGTTGTGGTGACGAACACCATCCTCCAACCTGAGCAGCCAGGAAGTGTCATTCAAGGCTGATGCTATTACCACAACCTAAAAATTCATCGTTAGTTCGTCCCATAAAAATTGAACCTGCATGATAAGTACCTCATTTTCGACTGTATGGTTATACACAGTCGCTGAATGACGCTTTAGGTATCACTGGTTGGTGTCAACAAGACTCCCATCACATGCATGTAGAGACCGTGTAAGTCGCCGGGGATTGTGTTAAAAAACGTTATACCTTAGGTGAAGACGGAGTGTGACTGGAACAAAAACTCAAAAATGCTGTCGCAGCGCATATAAACCAAATGAAGGTTCTATTTATTAAAATCCCCAAAAGACAGGTCTGATTATCCTCATGGTCTTTGGAGTACGAAGTATCATTGTCGACAGCATATTATCGGTGTACAATACTAATACTTTACTATCACACTGTCAACCGCGTCCTGATTCATTTAGCTATCAATTGCCTAACCGCTGCTCTGCATCTAAGCTTCTGCCCTCTAAAATAACTCAAAATAAGCCATCAGTAAATTCAAGGGTCTATTTCGCATTGCGGTTGTCGACGTGCGTTCTGTTTGTCGAATTGGACAAAGGTAGCTCTTGCTCAGAATTTGTTCCCTCTTTTGATCGATGTACGTTGTCTCCGAAACGCTCATGCAAAACCATTTCGTTCATAAACCTTAAACTGTCCCTGTATCTCGTTGATTTGGCGGAGAAGCTTCCAAAACTCGATGGGTACGGTGGTTGTAATGGTGATTGGGATGACGATTGGAGGCAGGTTAAATAAGTGATCTCAGCTTTTGACGCCCCTGTAAACACTGAATCTCATCAGGACTAGCAGCCTTGACTAAATCCAGGAAGATGTACTAAGAACGACGACTATGACGGCGCGCGCGGATCCCTCGAATACCGAATAATGAAAAGCTTTAGGATTGACGGAGAGCGGTGGGGGGTCGCAAAACCGCGGGAAATAAAGAAAGCTTTTGCAGTGGGAAACAATCGCACCCTATTCCAGATAATCCGATTAAAAGACCATCCGACCAACACTGATGTCATACTGTCGATGATGATGATGATGATAAGGAGGAGGAAGTGTGTTTATTAGTGAAATTAACGCCAAAAATAGGACACCAATCCATTCTGAGGAATTTCGTCTTGAATGGTTTGCTGAACATTTTGAAGAGCAGTTCATCTGGAGGCATCAACTCATCCACTGGAAGGGCCAACCGACCCCGAACGGTACTTCAGTATCGGTCCACCATCGAGGCGGAGGTTCAGCATGCAACCTCATCGCTTCAGTGCAGCAAAGCACATGGGCTAGACGGTTTGGACCATGTACTCTCCAACGAAGGTGGATAATCAGTTACGTTTAACTTCACGGTCCTACTCCGAAATATCTAGAATGAAGAAAAAATCACAACGATGCGCGATAATCAAGCTGGATTCCGCCCCGGGCGGGGATTCATCCGTCGTACGTTCACCTTACAACGGGTATTGGAGTTGCTCCACTCCGACAACCAACAATGATCGTATTTCTCGACCTCCAATTTGCCCTTGAATCTGTTGGTCGTCAGAAACTATGACAGTGTATAACGACAAAGGGTGTCCATTGTAAATTCCTGTCTGTTGTAAAGGCTTCATATGCTTCCTCCCGTGGGTGTTTACGCGTTTACGGCATATCCTGTCCTGAGTTTACCACATCCAACGGTGTCAGACGAGGATGCCCCCCTCCTCCTTAACTTCGTAGTCGAAACTCTACTTGAATCTTCGAAATACTCCTTGAGAGTTCACTCACGGGCAATAATAATCCGATGGTAATGTCGTTCGTGGATCAGCTTTTTTAGAAGCTCGGACTTTGGTGGGATCAAACTTCATGCTTGCGGGTGGAGCGATCGATGTAGTAGGTAACTTCGTTTGCTTGGGGGAGTCTCCTAAATCTCGACGGACTGACGAAGGCCGAAACCAATTCCCTAACTTGAGAGATCAGGGCAGCGTTTTCCAATCTCCGACATTTGCGGTATCTACTTGGCATCGGCGTGATGTCAGTCGTAGAGTGTGTAATGCTGTGGCATAATCTGCCCCATGTTATGAACCAGGGTCGTGGAGGTGCTTGTGGGAGACCTTCAAAGGCTTTCTGTACTTGAATGTAGGTACCTCCAGGACATTGCGCGAGTTTCTTGAGAACGCCAGATCAGTAATACCGAGGCAGTCCAGATGGTTTTCGGGAAAGGTCATTCATCTTCGACAGATAAGCTATTCACACCCCCAGGCTAGGCCATGTACTTCGTACGCAGGAAGGCTGTTTGCTTCGTAGAGCCCTCGTAATCCAGCATTGTGTCGGATGGGAACGACCCAGTAGCGGTCACCCTATGATTTGGCCACGAAGCGTGAGATTCCTTACCAGTAAACCGAGTCGCGCTGGGAAATGTTGTCCCCCGGATGGGGATCGCCACACGGGACAAACCAATGGTTAGTGACCCTGACAGATATGACTGTACCACGCAGACAATGGTGGCTTTCCATCAAAGGTAGCACATCCACTGCCTAGCTATTACTGCTTGCCATACCGGACAAACAGAAGCATCCGACGTCAGTGAACTGAGTGGTCTGTCGCTTTCAACGCGTGACTCTTATTTCCGTATTCTTCCTATCGGTGAACAATGCTGTTGCAGCTGGACCCACTGCATTTCGATGCATGGTTTGTGAGCTAAACTCAACTGAACATTTACAGACATGACCAAGTCGCGCGCTTAATGATGTGGAGGCATAAACAACTACTCTCAGTGTATGCCTTTTCATCCCGGTCTACCATTTATAAAGTCCACTATCATCTCTGTATTCACAAATCAGTTCTATGGTTACTGTTCCCAACATGTATCTATCCGCTTTACCTTCCCATATCATCGGCGAACGAAACTGGAAATTCTAATCACCGTACAACATGTACGCTGTTTATAGCCGAAGTTCAGTAATGATGATAATTATCTTCATTGATCTGTGCCATGGAAAACTCACGGCCTGGGAAGCTGCTCAGGTAAGAAAACCAGCAACTTTAGGGGAACACGGAAGGCTGGGAATCCTGAAGCAATACTCTTCGATTTGAAAGACAAAACGCGTACTTCCTAGGTTGTCGCTAGACCAAAATCTGTGCATACGTGGTTATCACATAATTGACCAATACCACTCTCAGCATCCGCCTCCACTGGCCTTTCTTTTCATGCAAATACGGTACCAAGATACCCGACCTTTAAAGTTATGCATCCGATAGTGATGTAGATACTGAACAGAAAGCGAGAGAGCTTGGCCCTGCTGAAACCAACTGGTTGTTAGAAAACTTACGGGTAGGTCGTCGTAAACTTCTGCCTCACCGGTAGTTTGGAAACAAAGGGAATGGGACATCTTCATATCCTTGTCCATTGGTGTTTCGGAACCAAAACTGGGATAGGCTGGCAACGGGATGATCAGGCAAGGAGTGTTTTCTGATAGTTCTGATACTTCATTTGTGGAATTCACAGAACACTACAAGCTGGGGTAGCTCGGTCATGGGATACGCACGCCATGTCGTCTGCTGAAAGGGGTTTCCCCCTCCCTTCCCCCAATTCAGCGTCCTGTGAACCAGGCGGCTAGAATAATATGAACGAAGTTACGAAAAGTAGGTATGCTTTTGGTATTCTGCCTTCCATGTGTAGGGACCTGTGGAATCAGTTGGAGAGCAGCACTCAACCTGCTTCTCTTCCCACTTTTGTCCTCTTATGCATTGTAAGACCCTATATAGGTGAAGTTGCATTACTGCGCAGCATTTGATCACCTTCGTCTTCATTTTGGCAATATTTAATACTCTGCTCCGGAATCGTTCAGCTGTAAAAATTTTTCGGTGCTTAGCTGCCACGCCACTTGAACGAAGCACGAGGGCTGGGATGCTTCCAGGTCTGCTAAGCCTAGACAGGAAAAGTCGAAATGGAGTGGTCGGTTTCGAACCACGGGCCTTCCGATCAGTAAATTCCGCTCTAACTACCGAGCCATCTCGCCCCAGCTCTGGCGCGAGCTGATAAGACGCTGCCTTGATGCTCTGCTTATTAAGGTAGCGTCTGATCAGCTAGAGCCATATCAACTCCGCCAAGGGTGGAATATTAAGCATTTTTGTGAGTTCAGTTTTTTCACAGAAAAATGTTTGTTGGGCTAGGCAGTTCTGTTGCGAACGTTCCAGCGTTAATGGAAGTGGCGTAGCCAATAAGTTACTTGACGCTGCGGATTGGTGGGGTTTGAAATCACTACTCCTGCACAGATTTTGTTTGCTTACACAGCGCGGCACTAAAGGTGTCATCGTCCTCTTCATACCATGAATATCCACTTTCGAGTTCCAAAAAAATCAGTATGTCAGATTAAACTTGATGTAAATATACAGTTGTTTTTTATTTATTTTCCAGATGAGTGTTGCACTGAGAGAGTTATCCAATGAACCACAGAAACCAATGGTACATGCAAAAATTTTGTCGGAAAACCGTGATCATGCGTCAAGCGAGGAGGAGGTCCGACTTTATGCAAGTAGCATTGGAATAGATGTTGCCAAAGAAACCGATTTATTGTGGATTGCCAAAGAAGGCGTTAGCGCACCGCTGCCCAGAGGGTGGCAAGTCCTACAGGTATGTATGATAGTAGTTTTAGTGCAGATGCCATAATAACATTGTTGGGAATCGGCAGGACACAACCGACTCCCTGTCATGTGCAGTACATTGTTGGCATGTTTGTACTTTGACTACAGAGTACGGAGTGACAAAAAGGGCACATTTTTTTTCAGTTAAAAAATCGTTTCGCTGTGGCACTCTCGGTGCCTAAGTGCCATGCCACCAGAAGTAAGCATGAGGGCTGGTATACTGTCAGGTTGCCCAAGCCTAGGCAGCGGAAGTCGAGAGACAGATCATCATCATCATCATTGTCAGCTGTAATAACCGCGTACTCGTCGTACAGTGGTTGCAGCTGCCGCAGTTTCGTTCACCAATGATTTGGGGAAGGGGGTAGGTAGCTGCTCATTGCAGGCGCGAGCTGGTAAGTTGGTGCATAAATCCAGCACTGTCAGTGG